AAAATAAGAGTTACGAAATTAAAAACAACGTGACAATGCATATTGAGTTTTGAGTGAAAATCCATTTCATGTGCAAGTTCATGTATGACGTGTGTGTGACTTGAGTCAGAGGAAACCCAGAAAGTTTAAAGTATGCCAACTGTAGACACCGCCATACCAATAGAAGCAGAAAGGTGGGACTTGGAGTAGTTGCATTAAACTTTGGTGGGGATCTTGGATTTTCATATTTTGGTAGTTGGGGGCAGCAACAGCAAAGGGACACATCATATCTCAAGATTTTCAACCAAGTTGTGCTCCTCAAATTAAGATCTTCTCTGGATTTTTGTGTTCGGAATTAGATGATTCAGAGATTTAGACCATTCATTTCAAATCTTATGGCTCTTATTACCCAATTTTATTGGTTCACACATATAAAATGAAAGATCCGGATTTTTCTCTTGAACGGTCCAAATCTCCGTATGTCCTGGCTCTAAAAAGAGTAATCTTAATTCGTGCTCCTCATGTTGTTACATCATATGAGCGAATGGATTACAACATGGCCCCATCACAAGCTGCAAATTGTCAACTTGTATTTAATTTTTGTGAAGAAATGTTTATTTCTGGTTGCACAAAATCAAATTTGTTTAGCCACAAATTTCACTTTTCTTTCCCTTTTTAACAAAAATATATAACGACGTGTATAGTACTTAACTCCTCTCAAAAGCAGGAGTTCTTACTCGGAAATGGAGAGAGATCCGGATCCCTTCTTCCTAATTCATCAAATTAGAAAATTTGTGTCGTTGAAGTTTTGATCCAACGGCTATAAACAAGGACTCACTTTAAAAGTTATAATAACTTCAGCTGTTAGATTAAATTTTAACAACACGAATTCTCTGATTTGATGGATTAGAAGGAAAGGATCGTGAGAGGATCCCTTTCCCTTGGAAATGGGAGTTCCTGCTTTCCATATAACAATAGTTTGACACGCAGATAGAGATTTTGCTTTTTGTGATTTTGACGGGATGTTTATGTATGTATGTTAAGCTCTGATTTACTGGAAGGAGGAACAACTTTTTGCATGGAAGAAGCTGAGCAGTGTCACGACAATATAAGCTACTGTAATTTTCAATTAGGAATTGATATCTTGAGAAAGATTCATAAGAGGAGCAGAAAATTTCACCTTTCTTCTAAAAAAATTTACCTTTTAATGGCAAAATACGTACAAAAACAATATACACTTCTCTTACAACAATGGACGGTATGGACCTTACATTTCCTAGTCTCAAGTCTTCAACTAGTTCCAAGGCTTCAAGCAAATACAAATTGGCTCATCAAATGGGGTTCTACAGAACGGTGCAAAACCGTGGATGGAAGATCCATTTGCCCTTTCAAAAAGCATGCCTCTACAATGGAGATGGAGATATCACATTCTTGTCTCGTAGAAGTAAGTTGTGGAGACGGCCTGACCTTCAACATCGTATGTACGAACCAGTCTCTGTCTCTTGGCAGGACCCTCGAGCCAACAGAACTCCAAATGGAACGACAATGATTCTGCAACATTGTTTCCTACATCACATGGGCATCCCATGTACATGCCTCCGGGCAATAGAGTCATCTGGTAACCTCCGTTGAAAGTAATCAAGTTGTCCGACTTGATTCCTGTCCAAGGCACATTAGTGGTAACATCACCCGCAGCGGAGGTGGAAGTGATGCCCTGACATAATTTATGAATGATGGGAAATGAAATGTAAGAAAAGACAGACACGTAGCAAATTATAAACCAAAAATAATAGGTATCCTTATGTTTTTTGAGTAATGAGTTCTTTGATTATCTGCAATTTTATCAATGAAGCATTTTGATTTTACGTTCCACGCTCTTTCAAGAGGGATTTAATTGGAGTGGAAGATACCTGAATCACTTGGCCCTTATCATCCATCTCAAGTGTTGCTACCGTATCAGCTTCAGCCGTTGTTGATCCATAAACACCGCTTCGTTTTGTTACAGAGTGACCTTTCCACGTACCAAGAAATGGCACAATCCTGTCTGTGTTTTCCTGATACCATTAAAAGGAAACTTAATTTTATAAATCACAGCCAAAAACAAAAATGTAACTATAAAAACCCAAATTTCAGTGCTACTAGCTTTCTTGTGAAAATTACCACGTTATTGTCGAGGGCAGGAGGAAGAACTGCCCCATCTCCTCTTTCCTCCAGGAAGATGACAATCATTTCGATAATGCCTTTTGGGTCCATGATGTGGAAAGCTCTTACTCGCATATCTTTCTCTAGTGAATGCAGACAACTTTCGCATACAATTGCAGGATGACGGGAAGGAAGCTTTAGATTTCTACACAATGAACAATATTGAAAAGACAAATAGATATAAGGTTAGTAAAACAATTTCAGTTAGAAATGTGACGGAGATCAATATATATTATGAAATAAAAGAAACACTCGACACACCAATGGACGAGAAACATGTTTTTACACAAATTACTATAGTCTCATTGTTTATAGTTTCATAAGGGAATCATAAAGAACATCATTTGAGGGAGGAACCACTCACTTTGGTGATTCTTCACCGGTGTCATCTTCCCCAAGAACCCCTAGTCTTAACACAGTTTCTAACATCCCAGCCGTCTGGTACCTTAGTGAAAAAGCTTTCTCATTGGGAAAGAAGCCAATCTGCAGACTAATCACAATGGATGTTCAACAGAAAACAATTCATCACAAACTAATCTCTAAGCTATATCTTCACTGGCAGTAACCGAGTAGCAATCCTATCCCCAGTTACTCGGAAAACTTCACCTGTTGATACTTGTCCACGGTAAACATGTTGGTTTCTTTAATTTTGTATTCTGCCCACTCCACCTCATCATCTAATTCAGAAAACGAAGTGCTTGATGGAGCTTGCTTAATATACAATCTGCAAAGCATGATATCATCAAATCATCAGAACAAATTAATAATGCTCACTGCCATTCATTACACAGAATTAATTTTGTCCAATCTTAAAACTTTTCGCCCATCCGAAACTTACGTTTGAATGAGACTGATGAGTTCATCTTCCCCATAAGAGCTAGCTGCAAGCTTTGTATTCACTTTATGCAACAGATTCCCAACAGTATCAAATTGCTACAAAACCACTCAAACTAATAAATAATCAGAACTAATCAATCATGAGGACCCATCTGATTCCTCTTAAATGAACATAATTTATATGTTTGGCTGCCCAGAAAATGCAGGAACAAAAATTCAATCTTTCACTAACTAATCCCAGAAACCAAATTAAGGACCAAGACCAACCAACCCAACAAAATTACATGCATTTTGCTCAGAAGTTTTAAAAATATTGCAGCCTTGATAAACAAAATATAAAACAAAAGACCATTTTGATTTCCCATCTTTTGCTTCGTTTTCTCAGCAACCAAACACATTACAAATTTTGGAGAGCAAACTAGATACTTACAAAGAAGGAACCTTGCCAATTGCCCACGTTGAGCTTAACAAAGCGGCGAAGATTGTCGATGCTCATGGCTTCCTCGCTGGGCTTTCGAGCTTCGTCTTGAACTGAGGTGGAGGACGACGAGTTGGAAGCTCGGATTACGGGGCTCCGGATTGTAGAAATGGGGCAAGAAAAGGGGTTTGGGGTGTGAAGGTTGGTGGGTAGGAGTTGGATTTTGTTGAGGCTCGGTGGGTTGGGAATGGGAGGGAGTGAAAGGGAGTAGCAGTAAGTGGAAGCCATGAAAGCAAGGGCAGGAGGATTCCGAGGAAGAAGAGCTCAGAGCAGAGTACAAGTAGCTGCTCTGTTTTATCATCTTATCTGAAAAAGGGCTTTTAGGATATTTGAAAGAGTCCAACCTCAAAAGCCCACTTTTGACAACCACCAAAAATCCTTCAAACGCCCATGCTTGTTTTTTACTTGAAACTATTTGACTAAAGCCTTCTTCGAATCGCAATATGTAACGAGTTGACATGATAATAACACGTTAGTTAAACGGTTGTGTTAATTTTTAATTGCGAAACACAACAAAGATATATTTGTAAGATATGGTTTTATTTGATATTTCGGAAGCCTATTATTGCTTAGGAGAAACAAGTAAATGAATCAAATACAACATGAATGACATGAGAAGTAAATATGCGAATGAGTTTGAATTGATTTATTTCAGAACGAAAAGTTAATGAATCAGGCTTTAGTTGAGTATTGTATCAAAAATTCATTTATAAAGCATATTTTGCTCAGTTTCCTTACAACACATAACAATCCAAACAAGATACTAATCGACTCGAACAAACATTGATTTTATGGGGGTAAGATTTGAGGAGAAAAAGTCGATGAACTTGAATCAAAAAATAAACGAACGAACAAAAACGCGGACCAGACCTAGCTAAATAGTGGCCGAACTTCTTGAACTTAGATCTCATCAATCTTATTCTCTTGCCGGAGCCTGCCTTGATTGATGTCCTAGGCTCGTAGCCAGCGACGGAAAATATACTAATTAAAGAGAAAGGGAGTTGACCTCATCTTGTTTCCAAAGCCCTTCCTCATATTTATACCACTTGATAATCCCCATATCCACCCTAATCCCTTGGCACATGATGCATTGATCTAATTGCGTGCAGGTTATAAATGTTAGCAGCCGAGAAGCCATGTTAAGAGTAAACGGATCAAGTTTGTCAAGAATTTTTTCGTAGTAACGAGGCGTAGGTGCATCAATTACAAGGCAATGCGATATGTTGAGAACCTGCAGGTGGCGTAAGCCTCCCAATAGAACGAGTAAGGCCTCCTTTCTCATCTTCGTGCACTGGAGGCTTAAGACGCTGAGATTTGGAAGAGATGAAACTAGGGTTGAAGCGAATAGTCTAGTACACTCACCCTGAATGATCTTTAGTTCCCTTAAATTCTTGCAGTTTTTTAGAAATCTCCTTCATGAGGTATTGAGGATCTTCTAGGGCAGGAATCGTGAGCGATTCAAAGTCTTTTCAGCAGCCGAGGGCCTTGCACATTCCTGTCTTGGTTATTCTGTTCCATCTGGCAAAACCAATCGTCTCAGCTTAGGGCATCTTTCAGCTGCATAAATTAAGAGATGGTCGGGGACATATAAATTGCGATTAAACAATAAGCTCGTTATGTTTCCCATACTGAAACCCAATGAAACCTTCAAAACACGACTCAGTGTCAAATCGGACCTGCTTGTAACATAAACATAAGGTTTATATTGGCTTGGGATGAAATCTATTTTCATCCTTAACAAATCAAGTGTAGTAAAAACTCGAGAGGAGTAGTCAAGAATAACCAAACGCCATGTGCTACAAACGGCACTGCAACGAACATAAGCAATGGCTGAAGTTAAATCTGAGATTCTGCCGAGACGCTTAAAAATCTCACTCAATATGTCAGGTTCCATGTCTCCCCATCTTCGAAAATCAACATCTTCCATTGCTGTTTCTCTTTTCCTTTTTCTGGCCACCACCTCCATTGTAATTTCGTTGTTTCTTATGTTTAAGCAATCAGAGAGGCTTCAGGAGGTTGATCTCTTCTAATTATATACAAACTGAATTTAGAAACCCTAGTCCCACAAGGGCTAGGAAGGAAGTTACTTCGGTTCCCTTGTGTTATTAGATTTCCCTTCTTTTATGAGGATTCCTTCTTACACAAGAATAGTTTCTTACGAATCGTATTCATTGGAATCTAAGTCTTTATGTATGCTTTCTGAACATTATAATATCTCTTTTTGCCGAATTTTTTTAAACAAACAAGGTTTCAGTCTAACAATTAGATTGATTAGGGACCAGATCAAAATGACCCTAAAATAAAAAAACCTTAATCGTATTCATGTGGTGGAGTCTGTTAATAATCATAATCGAATCATTCTCTCATTTTTCTGTCAAGTATAAGGTACAAGTGTCATTTCATTTTCATTGTCTATAATTTATTACTACTCTTTACTTATTTATTTTTTACATTCAATTCAAGATAGCGAATTTGATACCAAATTAGGTTGTTCATTGTGTGGCTTAGCCGAACTCTCCCTTCCCTTAATGTAAAATATATTGTTGTACTAAAAAAGAATATTCAAGATGCATGGCATGGAATCATCTCCAATTATCCTCCTTATTTTAGGTTTAACAATTGAATGATACTTGGCTACCCAAAAGGTGATAGTAGTTCTTATTCAAAAGTGTTCGTTGCTGATTCATAGTAATTCATGTTTATAATCAGAACCATTCATATTATAAATTAATCTATAAAAATACTATAAAAAATTATATAAATTAATCTATAAAAATACTACAAAAAGATTAATCTATTGCATGCCCCCTTCTCTGTCTTTCCCTCTCTCCTCAATCTGTTGCATGCCCCCTGTATCCATGTCTTCGTCGTTTGGTATGCCCTCAACATCATCCTCGTCCTGATATTCGGGCTTCACACGCCGAACGGGGATTGTAACAGAGTACACGGTGCCTAGGTCCTGATCCTCCGAGACACTAAGCTGGACTTTATCCTGCGAGTCTATTTCCACAAAATCGGATAGAGCTCCGACAATGTTGCTCACAATCTTCTGTTTCGCCTCATCGGTTACCGTGCATCGATCAGAGAAGAGAATCATCTGCAACCGCTGCTTTGCAATCTTTGCATTGGAAGTCCTTCGTGTCGGTGGTGAAGGGAGCAATATCTTCCATGCCAAATTCAAGCGCTCGAAAAAGCTCATGTTTAGAGCATTGAGGAGAAGGCCTTCTGTTTCTTGGCTTATAGGTCCCGGAAAGAGTTCACTGTTTCCTTCAATTCCAAATGATTGGTCATAGTGACACTTCGAGTTCGAGCTATAGCAAATTAGATTTGAGAAATACGTTTGATTCATCACAGGAAAACTACCTCCGCCATTGAAACCGTTATATTTTACCTGCATATATATGAGAGAGCATCAGACCTGAAATATAAACCGTTCCTTGAAGTTGAAGCCATATGACAGCAGTAGGTGTTTGAGAGGATTGTTCACAAATCTAATACAACATATTTCAGTAAAAGGGTAATGCTAGGGAGACTCAATTTGCAAACTAAATTTTGAAAACTAAAGGATATGGAAGTTGATGATTGATTTATTGTTTAAACATTGATAAACGTGCTTATTTCTATTAGTAACACATCATCTAGTTTGCAAATAGTCTCCCTAGCATTACCCTTTAGAAAAAACACGTGCATGGAAACATCACATCCTTGCAGTTGAAGCCTTATGACAACATTAGGTGTTTGGGGGGATTTTTGATCAATCTAATACAACCGAATTCATTAAACACACGAGCGTGTTTTTACCGAAAGTCCAGTAGTTCAGGTCCCGAAAGAGAAGTGCCTTGGGGCTACCAGAGTGATCAAAAGATCCCCCTTTCGAGCAAGGAATTTGGTTAGCAAGGAAGACGAAGGGATGGAAAAAGTTGAAGCAGGTTGATCAACTTGGCTACATCCTCCCCCTCTAGTATTACATATCAGAAATCAATTTATCATAAATCCAAACACCATTCATGTATTTCTTCCTCCTCAATGAGCAGATCTTTTCACTTGCACAACAAAACTAAACAAAAGAATCAGGCGCTATGCATTACTCCAAAACCTCCCGGTTTAGGTATTCTTCAAATGAAATCTGAAAAACTAGTCAAATCCAAATTTCTAAAATTTACTTGACAGCAGGGAAAATTAGTGCAAAATCTCAGCACCTACATAATGAAAGCAGTAAAAATTTTGTCCCACCATTCACCTTCCAGAAAAAAACACCTACATAGCTGCTGCCTTAATATTTCCATCCAATAATGTTTCTTTTCATATTAAAATCTCATAAATTGACATTAAAAGGATAAATAGACAGAACAACGACAAGAACACAGAAAAAGCAGAACCAGCAGCCATAGAAAATCAAATTGTAAACAAGACTTGCGAATTTCCAGCAATGTATGAGGCAACTGGAGATAAATCTAGAAACCCAATTGGATAAATGCATGAAATTTCAAATCTTTTGCAGAAAAAGAAGCAAAAATAAAAGGGGGAAAATACAAACCTTGGAGGGTTGGAGAGAGATTCCCAGAGAGTGGTGGTGCTTAAAAGGGCAAGTTCCAAAAATTGCAGAGATTCCAAAATCACCAGAAAAAGCCATTTTGCTTTTACTATCTAAATATGTATGAATTCTCCGGAAATATATCAACTGGGTTTTTGGTTCTCTCAGAGCTTCAGCTGAAGTGTGGCGTTATGTACTTGGGTAGGTTTTAACGGTCTTAACGGAAGAAAGAGGGAAACTAGCAAAGGGTATTAATGTAATTGTGTAACTAAACTGAGGACACTTCGAAAAGGAAAAAAAAAATCCTAGATAATTCCCTGTTTCATAAGATTACCCTTTGCTTGTTCTTCAAATCTACTAACTTTTCAAGGACATGCAATGCATGTAAATTTGTCGACAAGGAAATTGGATGTTGCGCCAAGAAAATTAGAAAATCTATATTTGTGCGTTGGTCAAATATAAGGAGCGTACAAAGAAGGGGAGGGGAAGTGATGACACGATGGGGTTTTGTTGTTTATGAGAGGAAATAGAGTATTGTTTCATATTGAAATGTTAAGACACTTTGCAGTAAACGAAGTTTGGTTAATCTTGTTGTTGTTAACTAGTTTAAGATGAAATCTTAACTTTCTTCAGTTGAGATGGTGCAATTGTGTTTGTTGTGCTAGTACTCGTATATGGACAGTTTCAGAATAAGTGTGCATGGGACTATATCCTTAAATGGTGATTGTAGAGTTCAAACAAAAATTGAGGAAGTGAAAATTAGAGTATTCTAACGAACAAATGAAAAAAAATTTAAATCTATTTTATTAAAAGAAAAAATAAAGAAACGAAAATGCTAAGACAACTATAAATTAAGGATTACATTTTGACTAATCTTAATTTCTAATAAGCAAGAAATACGACTCAAATCCTAACCTAACAAGAAAACTCAAATAATTAATAAACCTGAAAATACTATTATTTTCCATAAATTAATATTCAAAAGAAACAATCCATCTCATTTAAATTGAAACCTCAACATTATTAGTTTCATAGTAACTATTCATCTATTCAAAGCAAGGGAGTCCACCTCATCTTCATGCCACCTGTCCTCCTTGTCCCTTTGGTAACAAACTCGGCAAACGATACAACGATCGGATTGCATGCATGTTATAAAACTCTGCAACCGAGAAGCCTTGTCAAGAATTATCCAATTAATTTTTATCCAGAAGCAATGTGAAATATTGAGAACTTGTAGCTGTTTTAGGTCATCCAATACAGTGTGTAAATCACTACTCGTGAACTTTGTGCACCGGAGGCTTAAAACCTTCAGTTTCGGAAGATATGCAACTAGGGTTGAAGCAAAGCCATGATGACAAGTACCCATAAGTTTAAGTTCACTGAAGTTTTTACAGTTGCTGGAAATCTGCTCCAACAGGTACGGGAAATTTGTATTATTGGGAGATATTGTCAGCGACACGAGGTCTTTCCAGCAGCGAAAGGACTCGTATATTCCAGTGTCGCTTATTGCGAAGCAACTTGGAAGAACCAGTCGTTTTAACTTTAGGCATCTACATGAGATTGGTTCAGGAAAACAATTAGTCAGCAAGACATTCACCTTGTCAATACACAGTTATAGAGTTTGTTCAAATTATCTTCTAAGTTTATAGACGATCCACTAAAATAATCAAAAATCAAATTCTTATTGTTGAAATAATCAAAATTGAATATTGATGACATGTCAATCAAATATCAATGACATAACAATTTTTCATGTTATCTGTGTGTACTACTATTTAAGACCATTTTGGCCCAATTAAAATATGTGAAGTGTTCCTTTGTTTAAGTCCAAGAAAAATTAAATAACATGTCCATATTTTTAAAAACAATCAAACACATGTTAAAATATCATTGAACAAAACCAAAAGGTGAATACACACTAGTGAGTACACAAGATTATCATTATCTTTGTATGGCATTAGTTGGTGTTTAGAATCATTGAATTTGATAATTCATTATATTTATATCGAGTGAAGAAATGAACATGCATGTTTTGTCCAACTTGAGACTAGATTAGCCGTACTCCATGATTACTAAACTTTTGAAGTTGGCATCCATTCTTCTTCTAAACTTGAGTCATCTAATTCAATTCAATTCGAGATACTAAACAAGGTCTACATTTTTATCGTATATTTATATCTCCTATACTAGTAGGTTATGTGTTTTAAATTCCAAGGGTACATCAGATGAAGTAAGTTTGTACAAGACTCCTGGTTATACTTTCAACTGAAGCGATAACAGATATACAAGAGTATTATCACTAAACAAGTAGATGATAATTACAGCAACATTAGCTAATAATCCCATTTTTTTAAAGAAAATTTGATATTACCCCTTGAAACTATATTTTCCTCTACTAAAACCTATCTTCTTTTGTTTTCTTGAATAAAGTCCATTGACTAGCCTCCAACTAAACAAATTTTTTAATTAAGTTTGACTTTTCAAATTGTGTAATTTTCAAATGCCTAAACTACCCCTATTAATACTTGGATGAGGTTTTTGGATCAGTTACTTGTTATATCCATTTAATTAATTATATATATTTTACAAAATAATCATGCCATTCATTGTATATTCAATGTATTAACTTTCAAATTGTTATAACGTGCCAATTGAAAAATAATAATACTAATTTCATAATTTTGTGCATTACATATATAAGTTAATTTACCTACCAACACAACAATAAACCTAAAACAGCTTCGGCTAATATTCCAATCCCTAATACACAAAACAAAAGCTATATGTTCTGCACAATTCTTACCTACAAAATAGTCTAAGTTACCTATTACATCAAACCAAAATTTAAAGGGTCTAATTTACTTTCAAAATGGTCTAATTTACCTACATGATTTATGTGCATTAGATTAAAAGTTTATTTAATTGCCTACAAGCACAAACCCACAACATTCGAACATTATCTAATATCACTATTTTTTTTTTGGAATAGATAAATTAATTTAAATGTAGGTAAATTAGTATAATATTAATAAGTAGGTAAATTAATTTAAATGTAGGTAAATTAGTATAATATTTTATAAGTAGGTAAATTAATTTAAATGTAGGTAAATTAGTATAATATTTGTATGTAGGTAATTACATGATTCAAAATGCAGGTTTATTAGTATAATATTTTATAAGTAGGTAAATTAATTTGTATGTAGGTAATTATGTCACGTCCCGGCCCGGGGGGGACCACTTCTCGGGCTCGCTCCACCACCGTAGCACGATATTGTCTGCTTTGAGCCCCGACCACGCCCTCATGGTTTTGTTTCTGGGAACTCACACAAGAACTTCCCGATGGGTCACCCATCCTGGGAATGCTCTCGCGCGCTACTCGCTTAACTTCGGAGTTCCGATGGAACCCGAAGCCAGTGAGCTCCCAAAAGGCCTCGTGCTAGGTAGGGATGAGAATATACATTTAAGGATCACTCCCCTGTGCGATGTGGATGTCACAATCCACCCCCCTTAGGGGCCCGACGTCTTCGTCGGCACACTCGCGACCAGGGTTAGGCTCTGATACCAATTGTTAAGCGAGTAACGCACGAGAGCATTCCCAGGATGGGTGACCCATCAGGAAGTTCTCGTGTGAGTTCCCAGAAACAAAACTGTGAGGGTGTGGTCGGCACCCAAAGCGGACAATATCGTGTTACGGTGGTGGAGTCGGGCCTGGGAAGTGATCCGCCCCGGGTCGGGATGTAACAAATCACATAATTCAAACAATATTATTTTTTCCGTACAAGATTGTCTTTCTCTTTTAAATTTGGTAAATTAATTTATATATGTTGCTAATATTTATGATACAAGAAAGGTAAAATATCCATATGGATTTAATTGCTCATCATAATTAGGATGAGTAATAACATTTATTGACCAAATTAGGATTCTATGGCATAAGTTGTAATTGTACTGTAATAGTTGGTCATATATTTGTCTACATGGTAGGCTAGTTGAAATTTGGGTTTTATTTGAATGTTTAAATTTAGATAGGTTTTTATTTGGAAAATAGGAGTTTCAAGGGCCTATATCCAAAGAACCCTTTTTTTTATAACCATTTGTACTCTTCATTAAAACCCTAAAATCCATCTACTGACGATAAAATTGCAAATAATTAAAAAATGTGGCCAAATTACGCACCTTTTAGCAGCACAGGTGATGAAGGCATCGTCACCCAAGTAGGGACTGGAAACTAAGGTCGTCACGTTTCCTTGACCGAGACTTAATAAAGCCTTTGAAACACCACTCAGAACCGACGGAGAATCATAAACTGGCTCTATTTCCATGACTGAAAAATCAAGCGTACTCCAAAGCACAGAATTATTGCATATATACGAACGCAGCGTATTAGAAATGGCGGCACAACGAACACGAACAAGTGCTTTCGTTAATTCGGAGCTGCCGCTGGAAAAAATCTTGAACCATATGTCCGTAGGCAGGTCTTCCCATCTTCTCACGCTCATTTGGGAGTCATCATCCACTTTTTTTCGTTTTTCTGGTGGAAAGTCAGCGCCGACTTCCATAGCAGTTCTTTTTTTTTTTTTTTTTTTCCAAACAACTAGCCTTATCTTTTGTTGTGTTTTCTTTGAGCAGATATATTTTGTTGGCTTTAAGATGTCTTATATAGAGATACAAAGGAAAACCCTAGGTTTTTTCTTTTGGTGCGTGAACTACGGAGAGCCGAAGCCCAACAACTAGAAGACTCCATGCCTTGCCCCCACAAATGTTATCAAACCATGTGATATTCTTCTTTAAAAAGGAATCAACGGGTGATTTCGTCACGTCAGTTCATCATTCTGCTAGCCAAGAAGAGCATTTCAACCTCCCTGGCTATCATCATGTGATTCACGCCAGAAATCAAACTCAAGATGTGCCAAGTGAAATATGGGTTGGAATTCGTCCCCAAACCACTAAGGCACCATGTGGTGGTTTATCAAACCATGTGATCTTATAAGCAAGAATGTGATCTCATTTTTGCTAGTAACAACTCCCTTTCTGTAAGAAATGTGTTCTTCAGTGAAATGTAATCTAAGTACGAACTGCTGGCATGAGTCAACCACATAATTTAGGAATGTAATCCTCTAATTGATTTCTTGTATAACTGGGATTCTTATTTTCTATTATGTGGGATATTGTACAACTATATACTTACCTCCTAGGGAGAAGAATAATATACACAATTCAAACCCTAAACACTTTATCTTTATCTTGGCATCAGAACAGGTTCCGACATGTCTCTTCCCAAAACTAACCCTAAAATCACTCAACACCGTACAATCCACAACCAAGGGTGCATTAAGAACAAACCCTGGTGTTTGAAAAAATCTGGAACCCACAAACCTAACCCCTGTGGCTTTGGAAACAATAAAGCTGCAAACAAAATCAACCAACACAAATCAGTCCATGCAATGGCTGAAGAAAAGAAAAGCGGTGACATAATTCCCATACAAACCAAGTCTATACAAAGTAGGTCTACAAACACGATTTCAATGGTTGCCGTTGTTGAAGACTCGCGTGCAATGTCTGCTGTTGTAGCAGGCCAAACAGGGCCCAAGACAGTTTTCCCAGTCCACGGTCCAGAGGGAAAAGCAGCTGTTGCACCGAGAGAAGACACGGGTCCAATGCAATCTTTAATCATACGTATTTCAGTAATTATGGTTATGACGATTCAAGTAAAGTTGGCATTGCATTCATAGCATCCATTAAACGAGATTCTAGCTGGATAATTGACTCCGGAGTTACGGATCATATGACATATAATAAATTCCTCTTTCATCACTTAACCGTGCCACTCAAGGAGAATGTTATCACAGCAAATGGTGAAATTACTCAAATTACAGGAGCGAGTTCCATCACACTTACTCCCTCTCTATCTTTGCATAACACTCTTCTTGTTTCTTCATTGTCGAATCATTTACTTTTTGTTGGTCAAGTAAGTTACAGAACAATTAGATTGTGTTGTACTCATGTTTCCCACTTTTTGCCTATTACAGGATATCTAGACACAGGCGATCATTGGACGTGGTACTAAAAGGAGAAGGATATATTATGTGGATGATGTGGTATTGGGCCGAGTCAACCAAGTGAGCAGTGGTCACAATAACAAGATCAAGCAAATTTGGTTATGGCATCGTCAACTAGGACATGCATCTTTCAGTTATTTAAGAAAATTACTTTCGTTTTTATTTAATGGCGTTTCATACTCTGATTTTCAATGCACTGATTGCATTCTTGCAAAAAGTCATCGTACTTCTTACCATTTGAGTTTCAATAAAAGATCAATGCCTTTTGAGTTAATTCACTTCGATGTATGGGGTCCTTCACCAATAGCGATGCGCCATGGTATTCGGTGGTTTGTTATTTTTGTAGATGATTGCACCAGAATGGCTTGGCTCTATACCATTAAACAAAAGAGTGACGTTGGGCAAATTTTCCAACAGTTTTATCGTATGATTGGAAATCGGTTTTCTTTTCCTATCAAAGTCCTTAGATCCGATAATGGTGGAGAACATCTTAATTCTGAATTATCACAATTTTTCGCGGAGCACAACATACTTCATGAGACTACTTGTCCTCAAACTCCTCAACAAAATGGTGTCGCAAAACGTAAGAACAAACATATCTTGGAAACTAGACGTGCTCTTCCAATCGAGGCTCATGCTACTCATGCCTATTGGGCGGATGCAGTTACGTATTCCGTTTATCTCCTTAATCGAGTGCCTTCTCGAGTTCACAAGTTCCAAACTCCCATGGAAGTCTTGACGGATTATGTCACTCTACCATTTTCTCTCCAATTATCACCCAGCATATTTGGATGTGTGGCTTATGTGCATCTTCACAAGAATCAACGAAGTAAATTTGGATCCGTGTGTTGTTCGTTATGTATTTCTGGGATTTAATAGCTAACAAAAGGGATACCAATGTTACCATCCACCTACTGAGCATTTCTATGTCACCATGGACGTCACGTTTTCCGAAACCAAGATGTTTTTCATCACTGATCAAACCCACTCTACTCTTCAGGGGGAGTTGAATAGTACAGACGAAGACTATAGTTGGTTTGATGTCCCACATGAACGGGACAGTTGGCATGGTCCCAACAGTGCAAGCGAGACCGAGATTGAAGATGTGGGTGTTGTGAACAGCCTACTTGACCGTGCCTTAAGGTATCGTTTGGTATGCAGACGGGACGGGACGTAACGGAATGAGACGGGACGGGATGGGAAAGGACGGGATGGAACAGAGCGGGAGCAAAGATGCCCTCGGATGGAAACAATGAGGAAGAAGAAGGAGACGAAGAGGTTATAATTTTGTGTTCCACGGATGTGGAACGAGTCGTTCCAGGGGGGTGAGGTGGAACGAAAATTCACCCAAAACTCTTCCCGTGGAACAGCTCGTTCCACCCGTTTTAGGCGCACCAAATGTGGGACGGAATGCCTTGTCCCACTCTGTTCCGTCCCGTCCCACGTACCAAACGGTACCTAAGGTATCGTTTGGTACACAGACGGGACAGAACGAAATGCAGGTTCCATAAATGTTTGGTACGCGCAAGACGGAACGGGACGATTGTTTTGTTCTGCGTTTGGTAAGTGCATGATGGAACGGAACCAAAAGATTAAATGACTAACTTACCCATGTTCCGTCTGTAGTTTGGTACAATGTTTATATGTGAGACGGGACGGGACAATTTCATCGTTGGTTGAAATTCGTATTTTTACCGAGATGTATGAATTCATGTTGTGACTATTGTTTGAGTTCGAAAATTTGGATCTTATCTCCAAAATGCTTTAAAGGTATAATCAAATACTCAAATTCTTTGTTACATGGGTTTCTGCAGGTTTTTATATGCTTCAAGTGCTTGTATTTATCCTGAATTTAAGCAGCCTGGAAACCAATGTGAGCCTGAAGGAATCTGATGCTTGGCTTGCGGAGAAGAGCATATTTAAATACCTGTCCCGTCTTTGGCCCATTGCTGGTGTAATTGAAGTATAATAATGCTCTAAGAAGGCTGGAAGAACACTTTCAATGTAATCAAATTGGCCTTTTCGTTTGCTACAATCTACATGGACAGGTTCTTTCGATGCAATCTCTAATGGCAGCTCTTTGACAACTTTGATGAATCCATTCAACTGTTGAATGAAGTAATCGACATCAAAGACATCTGCAAAACCACTGAGGTGAAACCAAAGAGTTAAATGAATCCACACTTCAAACTAGTCCCGAATCACATCGTAATTCTCATTTATCAGATTTTAAGAGCAACCCAACTCAGACACCATCAAAAACACCAAACCCCAGGAAAAAAAAAAAACCACTCGTTAATACCAAAAAAAAAAAAAAAAATTATGGAAAACCTTTGAATCTATTTCTTTCCCATATATATAATATGAAAACTCTTCAAGATCTAAACTTTCCTGCTACTTCTTTACCAATAATAAGTAGTTGCAGAAGAGCTAACGAACACATATATGGGTGAGTTGAGAAAGAGAGGGGTTCTGTAGAAAGGGAAGTGGGGGCCGAAAAAGTGACTAAAATTCGTTCCACAGAATAGTGCGTTTTAGACAATTTGACGCACCAAACGTGGGACAAATGCATTTCCTCCCACTGCGTTCCGTCTCACCCCACTTACCAAACGGTACCTAATAAGGAAGCTGTGACGCATCAATCCAAGCAACACCAATTCAAATTCAAAGCCATGACACATCATTCCATGGTACAACAATTCAAAGTCCAACAATTCAAGCCCATTAGTAGGCCATGACACAACAATTCAAAGCCCAATGGTGAGCCACGACATAACAGCTCCAAGCCCAGTAGTGGGCCATCGTATAGCATTCCAAAACCTAGTGGATCTTGGCCGAGAAACTCCTGACCGAGAGACAGTTCATGGAGCAAAGAATAATAGGCCTGCATCATTTATTGATTCAATAGAAAGTAATTGGTCAACGAATATTACTGAGATTGTGCAAACAGAAAATAACCCTCATTCTCCTCCAATAGTACACGTTCATATCCCCACGAATATCCAAGATGTACGTTCTCATACTTTAAATATTATTGAAAATTCCTATATTTTACCTCCTAGGCAAAATCGTGGGAAACCACCTAACAGGTTTTCTCCGGAAGGAAAAATGAGATATGCAATTGCACAGAATGTGTTCGCTCATCGACTATCACCCAAGTGCCAAGCCATGGTGAATCAAATGGTTAGGATTAAAATTCCAACGAAAGTGGAAGAGGCTTTGCAAGAATCCTGTTGGGTAGAAGCCATGAAAGTAGAAATGGAAGCCTTATGAAGGAACAGAACGTGGAATGTAATGTCACTACCACAAGGGAAGAGACCGGTGGGATGCAAATGGGTGTTCACCATAAAGCACAAAGCGAATGCATCTATTGATAGATACAAGGCAAAATTGGTAGCTAAAGCATACACACATACATTTGGAGTTGACTACCAAGACATGTTTGCTCCGGTCGTAAAAATGAATACTATTTGAGTCCTTTTTTCTTTAGCTGCTAACCTGGACTAGCCTTTGAAATAGTTCGATATGAAGAATGCTTTCTTATATGAAGATCTAGAAGATGAAGTATAAATGGATCTTTCACTAAGATATGAAAGATCGAATGAAGGAGGAAAAGTATGTAAACTCCAAAAGGCTCTCTACGAACTCAAACAGTCACCCAGGGCATGGTTTGGAAGGTTCACTGAAGCAATGAAAAAGTATGGCTATAGACAAGGAAATATGGACCACACCTTGTTTATCAAATGCATGGAAGGTAAAGTTACTTTGTTGATAATCTATGTGGATGAAATGGTAAGGGCTGCAGGGGTATTCTTCATCAGAATTTGAGATGAAAGAACTATGAGGCTTGAAATACTTCTTGGGCATTGAAGTTGCTCGTTCTCGTGACAGTATTTACTTGTCTTAGCAGAAGTATATTCTTAATCTTCTCTCTGAAACTGGAATATTGGCCTGTAAACCATCTGAAACTCCTATTGTGCAGAATCATCACCTAGCAATATATCAGAATCAAGTGCCTACCAATAAAGAAAGATATCAGAGATTGGTAGGATGGTTGATTTACCTATCTCTTACACGTCCAAATATTGCATATATAGTCAGCGTTGTAAGTCAGTTTATGCATGCACCCAGTGAGGATCACATGGTAGCAATGATGCATATACTAAGTTATCTAAAATGTGCACCGGGTAAAGGATTGATCTTCAAGAAGCATGGACATATGGAGGTGAAGAGGTATACTGATGCTGACTGGGCGGGAAACATTACTGATCGTCACTCCATATCAGGCTACTTTACATTCGTAGCAGGAAATCTGGTAACCTGGAGAAGCAAGAAGCAAAATGTAGTAGCTAGATCCACTGCAGAGGCAGAGTACAAGGGGATGGCAAATGGAATCTGTGAATTGTTATGGCTCATGATTCTTCTCACTGAGATTGGGTTCAAGCCTTAGGGAGCTATGTTATTATACTGTGACAACCAAGCTGCGAGAGAAATAGCCAATAATCCTGTTCAGTATGATCGTACAAAGCATGTGGAGGTAGATAGACATTTCATCAAAGAGAAGTTAGATGTCAAATTGATTGATATTCCACACGTGAGGTCTAAACAACAATTAGCAGATGTGTTAACTCTTGCGGTTTCAACAAAGGTGTTTCACGACTCACTTGACAAATTGGGCTTAATTAGGAGATATCTATGCACCAACTTAAGGGGGAGTGTTGGCGTGAGTCAACCATAGAATTTAGGAATGTAATCCTCTATTTGATTCCTTGTATAATTGGGATTCTTATTTCCTATTATGTGGGATATTGTACAACTATATATTTACCTCCTAGAGAGAAGAATAATATACACAATTCAAACCCTAAAACACAGATCATTAGTACTTGCTTCATAGTACTTGAATAAAGATTCATCATCGACTACTAGATTCCAGTAAGTTTCAATTCAAACCCTAAACACTTTTATCTTTATCTTGCATTAGCTAGATTAGTCTAATTATTGGGAAGGAAAGGTATGTTTACAGGGATTGCGATTGAATTGAAGTTTGAAGTATTTTCGAACTGGTCTTACGACTGGTAGGACAAGTTCATCGCAATGGACGCAACAGAGACTTGGTTTTGAGGGTCATACATGCTCGTGTAACCTGGATTTAATGCAAGTTTTCTTCTTGTGCGTGGATTAGGTTGATTCATGTCTCTCTCTTTTAGAATTTAGAAGTGAAGATTGAATCATTAAGCTAATGCTAAGGTGTTTACCGATTGCATTTGTTCATCATCCCTCGAGTATTCAATCATGTGATCGAAATTTATTGTAAACGATGAGTTAGAGTTGGGTTGACCTTCCACCTGCTTCAGTTGTAGGAACGCTCAAAAGGACACGCTTAAACAGTTGGATCCAGCTCCATGCTTGGAGGATCACGAATAAAATACAGTCAATTTCCACAAACTTCGGCAATCAAAGCATGTGAATACTCCAATAAATAAAGTATTCAAATTCATCCATTAAAATAACACTTAAAAATTTCCTCATTCAAAACACCATTGTCCAATTTCTACTCACCATCAAGGTGAAACTAAAACAACACCAACAAATTACAAACCCCAAAAACCAAAAGAAAATTAGATACAAGTAAAGTGAAAGGCAATCTCAATTTGCTTCACAAATCAATGGCTTAACTTACTTAGCTAGAAGAATAGTCTAATTTTGATTTGGATAATCCTCACTGTTTAGCGAATTTCAATAATCCCATCAATGCTAGCTCAAGTTTAAATATCATATGCGTTCACAGCCGAACTAAAGCGTCCCACATTGCCCCAATGGCGAAGACTGCGGGCACAACAAACAGGGAAGCAGGTGTTAGGTCACTGCTCTTGCTCTTCACTGGGGCAGCTTCGGGGGGTGGATGCATGTTTTCAACTTTAACGGCGAGCTTCATGCCACCATAGCAGTACCCCTTGCTAGTAATGAAGTAGTAGTCCCTTGTCACATTCAGTGGAACCACATCTCTTCCGGCTCCGGTGGTCCAGTTGTGAAGGGGATGTTCAGCATTGCACGAGACATAGTTTGTCTGGTTCACCTCTATAACATCCATTTGGTTCCTATCATAAACAAAAACTAGAGGAAAAAGTAAACGGAATTACCAACTAGCTTAAAATATATGGTTTTCTACTTATTTGAAGTTTTCGTGTAGTATAGGGCGAATTTTTACTAAGGAATTGATTTCCGCACTCCTGTTCATTTTCGGATTTCCCTTTAGTTTACTATCCAAAAGATACATTAAAATATGAAAGTAAATTGTTGTATAACAATCATATAGAAAAAGCCAAAAATATGAAAGTAAATATGAAAGTAAACTGTGACAATGGCTTTCTTGACAGAAAAAGCCAAAAAGCCAAGAGGGAAACAACTAGAAAAAGTTGCAGATCTGAATCAGCCAGGATGATAGATACAAAATACTAAAACATAACAGAAATCTTGTATGCTGTGGACTTTGAAGATAATTACCAAAATTTAAATGCTCCTTCTTCCTTTTCCTGCATATTTTTTCAGTAGGCAAATCTGAGTTTTAACATTTTAATACTTAAATAATTAACTAAGATTTAGCATAAGGTTTACACAGCAAGAAACAAAATTCAGAAAAACTCCGTAATTAGTAATCTGATTATATTTACACTGTTTATAACAAATTTAAGCAATTAAAGTAACCACACATGCATTCTCATAACTTGAATGACCAAAATTGTAATCATTTCTTCTTTTTCCTGCATTTTCAGCAGGAAAAACTGAATTTGAACTTGAACATTACACATCAGGAAAAAGACATTTACAAAGAAGTGCTTTTATTTCATCAAAGAAAAGTGGAAAAAGCAGATTTTAAGCACAACCCTTTAAGCCATTTTCACATCTAACACACTCACATGCATCATCAACCAAATAATAGAAAATTTGATCTGTGAATTAACTAACAGAACAAATACCATTGACAGAAAAAGCAAATACTTAATGGATCTGAGAGAAGAGAAAGAAAGGTTAGCTTACAGAGCCAGTCTCCATTGTAAAAGTGCTTATCCTGAGCCCAAATAGTATAGTTCACATTGCTGGTCCAACCCACGTTCCCGCCCACCATATATCTCGTAGCTGATGCTTCTGGAAGTTCCATCACCACCACCAAGCACAAAAGCACCACCACCGCCGTAGCTCTCTCTTTCTCCATTGCTCTCTCTCTCACTCTATCAGTCTCTCACAAGCAGTAACAGTTGCTCTGGAAAGCTGTGTCTAAAAAAGCACTTTGCTTTTGAGCTTTTAGTTTTGCTGGGGTAGTTTGTTTGTATAAGGTTTCAGTTTCCAGATCAACAAGTACCGTGGGCTACTTGTCCAGACAACTTCGGTTCCTATGTGCAATATTATATTTCTCTTGTTTGACCTTTTGTGTTAAAAAATGTTAAAGCTGTGCCTGTTCATAATTGCAAGAACCTAATTGTTTATACATTAATTAAGATTGAGAGTTTAGTGATTAAAAATAAATAAATTAAGACTAAGTGTTGGTTGATTACCGTGTTCAAACCAGGTTAATCGGACAATCTTCTCTTGTCTGAATGTGCAGTTGTCAGTAATCTTACGTTTAACAGCAGTTTTACTGCTTTCGAAGTTAATTAGGCAATCTTGTAAGTTAAATCTTAGAGCAAAATGGTGAAATCCGGCTCAAAGTTACTGGTGGGTTATGGATTTCTTTAAAGAGCCAAACAATGAGAAGTGAAATTGGATGTGGAATTCAATGTGATTTTGAATCGCACAATCACGTTGTGTTAAAACACACAACGTGTTTGTAATTCATGACATATCAATTATATAGTACAACTCTATTAAAACACACAGATTATTACCGTCACATGATCACACTGATCTAGAATACTAAAACACGACATAACTAAGGCATGTTTTCAACTTCAACGGCAATCTTCATGCCACCGTAGCAGAACCCATTGCTACTAATGAAGTAGTAGCGCCTTGGCTCATTCAGTGGAACCAGATCTCTTCCGGCGCCGGTGGACCAGTTGTGAAGGGGATTTTCAGCATTGCACGAACATAGTTTGTCTGGTTCACCTCTAGAACGTCCTTTTGGTTCCTATCACACACAAAAACTGGTGGAAAAAGAAAAACAGAATTAGCAACTACTACTAGCATAAAATATATAGTTTTCTTGGTAGTAAATTAATATTTGGTACTTGCTTATTTGAAGTTTTCGTGTAATGTTGGGTGAATTTTTACTAAGAAATTGCTTTCCGCAATTTTCGAGATTTCTATTTCATCCACTACCCTTTAGAACTAACCAAAAGATACATTAAATTATGAAAGTAAATTGTTGTACGACAAAGTAAATTGTTATACGACAAACATATAAGAAGACACTGGCTTTTCTACACAGCAAAAACCAAAAGACACATGCATTCTCATAACTTGAATAACCAAATTTTTTTCCTGCATTTTTCCGCTGGAAAAATTGATTTTTACCTTAAACTTTACGCAACAAGAAACCAACTTACAAAAAAAAAAAAAAAAAAAAAAAAAGTGCTTTTATTAAATCAAACAAAAGTGGAAAAGCAGATTTTGAGCACAAACCCATTAGGCCATTTTCACATCTCACACACTCGGAAGCATCATCAACCAAAAAAATAAAAAATTTGAGCTGTGAATTAACTAAGGGAGAACAAAAAAAAAACATTGACAGAAAAAGCAAAAATTTAATGGATCAGAGATAAGAAAGAAAGATGAGCCTACAGAGCCAGTCTCCATTGTAAAAGTGCTTATCCTGAGCCCAAAGAGTAGAGTTGACGTTGCTAGTCCAACCCATGTTCCCTCCCACAGTATATCTGGTAGCTGATGCTTCTGGAAGTTCCATCACCACCAGCAAGCACAAAAGCACCACCACCACCATAGCTCTCTCTTTCTCCATTGCTTTCTCACTCTACCAGTCTCTCCCAAGCAGTTGCAGTTGCTCCGGACAGCTGTCTAAAAAGCACTTTGCTTTTGAGCTTTTTGAGCTACTTATCCAGAAAATTTGAGTTACAGTACACTCGATGCTTCGTATTTAAACAATCCCTTAAACAAAAGAATATTTCTACTAATGTCTAATGTGTAATGAATGACATTTTTTTGTTTAGCTAATGTTAAGCTTGGTGCATAAAGTCCACACATCTACACTCAGATGCCACGTATTTAAACCCCTCCTAAAACAAAAGAATATTTCTACTAGTGTCTAATGTGTAAGGAATGACGTCTTTTTCTTCAGCTATGGTTTGGCTAGGTGCATAAAGTCTTCACATTTAAATTCCATGCTCCGTATTTGAACCCCCTCCCTAAAACAGAAGAATATTTCTACTAATGTCTAATGTGTAATGACATCTTTTTCTTCTGCTATGGTTTGGCTAGGTTCATAAAGTTTCTGGACCAAGCACGATCAAGGTATTCAAGGCAAACCAAATCAAATAGGGTTATGATAGTTGTCGTTTGGCACGTTGTAAACCGTGTGCCTTTTCAGATAAAAGCACAATTGCACAAGACCCAAATCTAATCCACCTGCTTTTGCTGTGCACATAGTTTAGCAACAAGGACATAATTTAAAGAGGGAAGTTCTTCTCAGTCCTCACTCTGTAAATGTTGCATGAGAATATTTTTGTAACAAGGACATAATTTACAAGTACTTTATTGTGAATTCTTCTAAGAGAAACATAAAACACATGGAAACATGTTTCCTAAGAAAGCACTTCTATAATCTAAAAGTACTTCTAAGTTTTCCGCCACATATATTTATAAGTGGTTTTGGTTGTAAAGAAATATTTTTAACCCTTTCAAAAACAGTTACAAACATAACTTCACTAGCCCTCCTCACTTATAATAATGTGCGAAAAAGTTTACACTTTGAGAAGTGAGTTTTGAATATTTTCGAGCGCCAATAACAGTCTTCAAATGGAACTTTGAAAACAAAAGTAACGGGGATGGGTGTCTAGAATAACCCCAACAGTTTTAGTTGGGTGGCACTAATATTCAAGACTTCAGTAAGCTAGAGTGGGCTGCAAAACTTACACACAGACATATATATAGATAGATAGACTGCAAAACGGCCTATACTTAATTTAATCATACAACAATAACATGTCTTTGCACCCCTCTTAGCATCCACATCAAATCTTAAAATTACAGGTAAAAGCATAAGCAGCTCCCCATGCTTCTGAAAAAAGCACAATTTCAAAAAGCACAAATTTATGTACGTGGATAGAAATAGATATTAAATACTGGTTTAACTTTCTCTCAGTCCAACCTTCTTAACAAGTATTCCACTTGAACTTCCTTTGTCAATGGCATGATCCAATCCCCATATAAATCTGCAACCAAGGTTGGTTTTATCTTATAAACCAGGTTGGGATTTTTCTTTTCCCCTTCGTACAAGGTCACTTCTTGCCCGTAAGTTTTCGCCTTCATTTCCACCCTCTTTATGATTGCCTCCTCAACCGTTGGATATGTCAACAAAGCCATCACCTTGTCCCTGTTCTGAAAAAAAATGAAGAAAACAGACTAAGAGCGCGGAACATCCAAAACTACTTGTGACAAAAGGATATAAAAATACATTCAAGACCATGTACCTGTTCGATAATGGCAGCTTCATAGGCATTTGGATTGGATCGAAATTTGCACTCTGCAACAAATTTACCATAATGGATTCTCTTGGACAGAGCCTGCCATCAGAGGAATCCCGGTAAGCATTTAGAAATGCTAATTTAAAAACTACCTCGCAGTTAATTACTGAATCTATTAAGAGCAAGTGCACAATATTGTTCTAGAAGAAAATGACGAGAAATGGATTGTGCTAAGGGTAAGATTAGGTACAATTTGAATACCTGCAAGCACATTGTGTCACAAACAGCAGTTGAACCGTAGTTACCATCATCTCCTTCTTTAACCAGTCTTGGAATAATATCTCTGAAGTACATTTCCCAAACTTTTCTGTTTATGTTAATAGAGTTGGCAATGGGATGCAGAACCTGTTTGCAAGTTGGACATATATATTCAGATTCCGAATGAAAGTGGTTGCCGCTCGGAAAATGAGAACAACGATTGCCGTTGCCTTACAACAATGGTAGTACAAATAGGACAGATGCAGAAAGCGGGGAGATAAAAAGAAAGCTCTCCTATTGGAAGAGCTAGATCATTGTAGTGAATTTTCAGTTTGACAATGACCAACAAGACGTTTCTTTAACTGTTTCCCAACGGCGTTAGATTTTAAATGTCTAGTTTTTCGGTAAAATCAAATTTTTTAAACATATTTTTTGCTGCAGATGGATACACATAATTGACTACCATTTTAAATTGATCTAGGAATGTTACAGATCAAGTTATCGATTGAATAGTTTGGATGTAATTTTCTTTTGAGCATGTACTACCATCAAAAGACTCCGTTTTCTGTGCTTTAGACCATGTTGAGCTGAGCACATTTGCCAAAAAAGAAAACAAAGCCCCCATGTTCAACACAACTTTCTCGATCACAATCAGCCCCGTTCAAGTTATTGATCAGACCTTTTCAAACGTTTCTCATAGTTTGTCCCTTGCAGCCTTGCAGGAGAGGGGTAATAACCTTATGTTTTCAAAATTTTCTAAACTATTAACTATTACATATATTCTTCAAATTATGTAAAAACTGAAAACAGCCACATGGAGGATCTGGGAGGCCATTGCCGCACCAGGCCTGCATGTGGCCCTGCTGCTGTCCTTAAGTAAAGATATTCACAAGGTTGGGAAAAATCAACTTCATTGTTCCAAATGTATGTTATATATTACCTGGGGGTAGTGCAGAGGTGGCAACACTGGTTCAGGTACGTCATTCGGAAAGAAAGGATGCTCATCAGGACTGCTGAATCTTCCCACCTAATAGCAATGCAAAGACAATAAGAAACCCCACAAGTCCTTTTTTGAGTGTTCTTAGTGTTCATGTTAAGATTTAGCATACCTGGCCATGAAGTTTTTCTGTTTCTTTAAGAATGTGTTCTACCAAGGAGCCATGGAACCCATCAACAGGGAAAGCATTGGGGTCATATGTAGGCAAATTATGACAATATTGAGCTCTCTCTAACAGGCTAAAAATTATGCTATCCTCCTGCCGGATCAAAGAATGTCTTATACCTTCAAGGGTCAAACTATCGGTTTCATCCACCCTTTTCTTTGTAGCCAATGATCTTCACCAATAGGCAGCATTGTATTAGAATCTAGCCAAAGTAAATTGAAAGCAAGACGCTCCTACTCCGCCCAGTAATCAATAATATGCATTTTTATGACCAACGATGGATTTAATTTTTAGTGACTACAAGCATGCTTTTTTATGCAAAACCATCGAGAAGTATGTACCAGATTTCTAACAATTTAAGCCAGTCATAGTATTCAAGTGTTGAAACTTTTTAGGCAAAAATAACACTGAAAAAGTTAAACGATAGTATTTTCATTCATAATTCATGGTAAAAACAAAATTGCAAACTATAGTTGTCCACGGCTTTCATAATTTGAAAACGCGACATTATATCTTTATCAATACAAGAAAAAAACATTTTCTTCATCGTAAACAATTAATCTATCACTCAACTAACCGGAAAACTTGAACTATAACCGGATTACTTGGACTAGAACTAACCCGAATACTTGAACTTGAATTAACCGGAATACTTGAAGTAGCCCGACTAATTAATCAATCTATCAAGCAAAAACTCCATAAAAATTAACCAAAACAATCAAGTACTGGAATTCTATTTCAAAATAATATCTTTGCACAATCAATGCAGTTTATATGAATTGGGGTTACTGAACAATTGGCGTAGTTGGATAATACGTGCACAGAAAAAATAAAAGCATGCCAATTTCCAGGAAAAAAGAAAAACAATACAAAAGCAGCATAAACATAAAAATCTCATAAAAAACAGAACAACCAGCAGATCCATAAAAGAACAAACATGGAAAATCATAAAACCCAACAAGTTAAGGCAAAAGGGTTGCTGTGTTTGTACCCAATGGAGGTCGAAGCAGCCTGGACAGACAAATTTGGCTTCTTTGGCAAGGAAGAATTGAGGCATGCGAAACTGTTGGATTGCATTGCTTTCAAGGGAAGTAAATAATTGGGTCTTGAATTGGAAACGTGGGGAGCTGAATGAAAGACAGGCGAGGAGGCCATCAGCAACTTAGCCTCCATTTATGAGAAAGAGAGAGAGAGGGAGAGAGGGAGAGAGAGATGGGCTCTTTGAGAAATCAGGATAAAGAATGAAGGAATTGGACTGGGACTATGGTGGTGGTGGGAAATGAGATGGAGAGGGGGGTAGGTGTGGAGGTTGAATTGGAGGTGGGTAGGCTGAAGAGAGCATGCACCAACGCAACAATGATCCCTTCACTTAGTTTTTGGTGTTTTGTGTGTTTAGTGAGCTTTCTGATCTTGATTGGTTTGTTAGATGTCAGCACGTGGGACATTTGAGTCTGAGTACCTGTGTGATGTTTCGATTTAATAATGCAATATAGAGTGTAAGTTTTTCTTTATACGATATTAAACTCTTTTTATGTCATTTGTTATCCTCTTATTGAAATAAAACTCACTTTATATATCATAGTTGCTGCGATATTTTAAATCAATTAAGCACTCTGCTACATATCAAACACGCACAATTATATAAAAACGTTAAAACATTTAACCTTGATCGATTGACTTGAAACAAATAAAAGTTCTCACCGACACAATTACGCACTATACTATGGATCAAGCACGCACAATTTTCTTCCACAAATTGTGAGTGGTTGCTTAGGTGGAAGGACCAAGTAACGGTTCTCACCAACCCCGTGACTTGCTCGGTTTGGTCTTCAATTCAAATGTGTTTTATGAAAAATTTGAGAATTATAACAATTTTTTTTACCTGCGAGTTGAACAACTTGAGAATTATAACAGTTTGGTTTTCAATTTAAATGTGTTTTATGAACAATTTGAGAATCATAATAATTTGGTCTTCACCAACTCAATGACTTGCTCAGTTTGCTCTTCCAACTCGTGAGTTTAACAAATTTTTATTGATTAAAAATTGACTGATCACTTTTTTCCCTTCTATTTTATTTGAATTAACATTTTCTTTGCTTAATTAAAATTGTCCAGAAGGAAATTTGTAAGAATGAACCATCCTATAACATCACTATGGAATTTAGCAAAGTAAAATTAGTTCATAGGGTGACAATTTTGACACACTCGTTTTTGTATGTTTGCACTCTTAAAGCAAGTTTATTCCACTAAAGTAATTACTGTATAGACAATTGGGCAAGGACAATTAATGCTTTAGTGAATAGTAAGTGCCCGACTACATTTTCACTTTATAAATGAATTGTCCGAACTATTGGTATTAAAAAATTACTTTTAAAAATTGAATAAAAGATAATTTTATAATTTCGGATAAGATTTTTAGCTAATCTCATCATCCCACGTCTCAGTATTCGAAATTACAATTTTAGTAGATAATTTCGATTAGATTTTTAATCAATCTCGTCGCTCTATGTGTCATGATCCTGTGAGAATTTTGTGGGTAAATTTTCGATAAGATTTTTAATCAATCACGTTGCGTCATGTGTCACTATCTCTTTAGAAGCCTTGTAGATAGATTTTCAACCAATCAGGGCGCGTCATGTGACATTATCTATAACATCATCCTTTCATTTTTCTCCATATAAACCTTACATCCAACCTAAACTAACAAACCAACTCCAAAATATCTCTGAATCCTTATTCACAGTATATAAATTGAGTTCTTGCAATGTCTACTTCAATGAGATTGTTAGAAATCGAAAAGTAACTAATAAATTTTTCAATCTCTAGGAGTAAAAATTGAGTTGTCTGAAATGGAAGGGCGAGATGATCAGTAACGTAGAAGGAGGACATGATGAAGTAAGAAGGAGAAAGCCGCACATACCCGTCGTGTCGTGTAAACTGCGGCTATAACCTCCAAATCTAGTCGTTCCCCAAACCTCAATATAAGGAGGGAACAACAAGGTAAGTGTCCAATCCATCGGTCCAGCTCTGCTGGGCTCCATATAGCACGAGAGATTTTTCAATGTGAATGTCATACGGGATGGTAAACCACGTGTTGCTATATAAATGGTGGGATATGTGTGTTAAAAAGTTCATAACTTAAAAAATAAATTTTCTCATCACTTACATAAAAACACGTGGTATACCACCTGTGTTCCCGTCACAATTAAAAATTTCTCATGTAGCATGAATGGGTGGAATTTTTTTTTGGATTTTTGGGGATTGGATTGCCCTCTTATGTATTTTTATATTTTTAGCAATTGAAGAAACAAAGGAAGATAATGGGTGCAAACAAACAGAGTAAGTATCACTACCTATACTAATAGTAGGACACTGATAGATCACTCACTTTTTATGTTCTCTAGTAATTGGTATGAATTTATTCTTTGACAAATATTTAAAAAAATATTTTTTATGGTCAACAACGCGTTTGATCGGAATTTTAGAATCGATACCAACCGCCGACACGGATTGGGTATAATACCCTCTGTCGCATATTCCCCATCGCTGGCTTTGAATGATAGCCTTCAGTAACAATGCTACAATCTGTACAATTTCCAAGCTCAAGAGTCAAGTCCAAACTCAAAACACACTCACCCGCTAGCACGATGTGCGAATCCCAATCCCACCTACCCCAAAAGCAAATCACTCGCCTAATTCTTTTACCTGCCAATTTACTTACTACATTTTTTTCTTTTTTCCAACTCATGCCCATTAGCTAGCCTGTAGTACCTTAAATCCTATTAAATTTTCCATTTAAAAACCCTACTCCCTCACAATCACTTCATCAGCAGCTCAGCTCCTACTCCCCAAAGGAAAAACTCTAGATGAAGAGGAGGAGGAGTTGAGTTGTTGAAGAAGAGGTAGTGAGTGAGTCTGACGGTGAGAGAGTAGGGTTTTTATATGGAAATTTTAGGAGGGTTTTAAGGTACTGGATATAGACATAAGTTGTCCAAAAAAAGTAACAAAGGAATTGGCAGGTAAAAGAATTGGGCGGGTGATTTACTTTTCGGTTAAGTGGGTTTCGCACAGTAGGCTAGTCGGTGAGTGGATTTGAATTTGGGCTTGAGCTTGAGGATTTTACAGATTATGGCATTGTGCCCGAGGGCTAGCCATCTAAAGTCGACGATGGGGAATATGTGAAGGGAGATGCACATCCGGTGTCGGCGGTTGGTACTAACTCTAGAAACCGGTCCGATGCGTTGTTGACTATCAAATCTTCTTCTTCTCTTCATCTTCATCTTCATCTTCATCTTCAGATAGAGTTAAAAATCTCAAATTTTTTGGAGATAAAAAAGATCTCAAATCTCAAAACACCCTAGAAATCTACACTATATGAATCATTCTCAATCAACAAATGACAATGAACTGGATTTTTGGATTTGACTTTTGGGGTAAGTCAATGGTGGGATTTGAGATAGACCTCAGGCACAATGCATGTGAAATCCCGTCCCTGGATTTTACTATTTAAAATTACGTATTTCATATTCGTATTCTTAGTTTCGATGTGTTTGTATTTGCAATGTATAATTTTTCTTTCGATAAGTAAAATGACAAAAACATCCTCAATGGACTAAACGGGATTTTTTGGGAAAGTATTTGATCCTTTCGTGATTTTCCAGATTTCTTTACTATTTGGATAGTACTCGTCGATACGGATGCGTGAGCGCAAACAGAATGTAATTTGGAGTTATAACAAAGAAGTTATAAACGAACAAAGTAGAGGGCAAAATGGGCATTTGACCATTGTCTAGAAGGCTCTAGATTTGCTGGGGCAATTATCAGTGGTGCCACGTGTGTGGCTGTGATGAAAGGAAATGAGAGAAAATGAGGGTGCATACCAATGAGGGGAGGAAGGAAGGAGGGGAAATGAGGGAGAAGAGAAGCATGGGATTCCCTCGGCCCGTTTTACCAGACCCGACTCGATGGAAACAGGGGTTTCCGATGCTTTCTCTGGCCAAATTCCGGCTAATTACACCGAGATACCATCTGAGAAATACTCCACGACCTTCCCTCTACCAATTGCACCCCAAAATTGATGGAATTTGGCTTGATTTCATGAAGAATTGCGCTAGTGGGTGCGGTGGCTCCACGGTGGCGATCCGTCAAACTTGAAACTAATTCTGTCAACCACCACTACCAATAGATTTCCCTCAACCTCAGAAACAAAGCCCAAGTAGTGGTGGAGACGTTGAAGCTTGTTTTGAGGACGAATCTAGAGCACCCATTTTAAGGGTTTCCGACATATCAATGTGGTTTTCAGGTGTTTCCCGACTGAATTTGACGTTGTCCGAGGTATGAAAGTTCTTCCCCTTGATGAGTTCTACATTTCTGTAAAATTTGGTAATATTTGGAGTTAATCGGAAATTGGGTTTCCGTTCACCGGAAACCGCCACCAGCGGCGGCGCATGCGGTGGTGTGTGGCCAGTGGGCCGAAAATGTTATTTTAAGCTAAATTAGATGTCTTGATTTCAAATTCGATATCCACTTAATGTGATTTGATTGTTTGAACCTATTTTCATTATAATACGCCACTTGATCATTATTTGAATTGATGATCCGACCGTTGAATTGTCACCAAACTTTAATAAGTTATGACACATAATATTTGAGGACATTAGAAATTTAGGGATCGGGAATCCGATGTATGGATCTTCCTAAATTGAATTTCTAAGTTTATAAAACCAAATGTTGACCGTCACTTGAATTTGTGATTGGTGGAGATCTGATCGTCAGATTGCGATGAAATTTTAGTATCTCATTCTATGAGCATAATAAGGACCTTAAGAAGTTATCGAAATCCGACATGTGGATGTTCCAGATCGAATTACGTAAGGTTGTGGATCATACCGTTGACTGAGAGTTGACTTTTGGTCAACATGTCTCGAAACATTCTAAATACTAAAATTAGTACTACTGAAGACTAAGTGTAGTCTAGTGGGCTTATATTGGATAATGAGTGACTTTAAGATATGTGATATGGTTATTACCCTAATTTCGTATTTACTATCCTTTGTGGATATCACTTGATTTTATAATGTGAATATATTGAAATGTGATTAGTCATTGATCTATGTTTATTAATCGTGATTTAACCTGTGTATTGATGATATCTGTGAAATGTGATTTGACATGGATATTTGAAATGTGATTTGATTTACATGATTGGTATGATGTGAAATGTAAGGGCTAGTAGTGGACCATTAACCCATTGCCATGAGGTTTATTGCTTCAAGCTTGTTTCATATCCCATTTCATTGTTTCATTTCTTGCTTTGTTGACCCGTTCTAAATCTAGTACTTATGCTTCGTTTCATTTTGTTGAGCCTTTGCAAACTAAGCACTTTATTCATGTTTTGTTTCTTCGAGCCGTTGATATATTCCTTGACCTTCCGCTCAGTTCCGTTGAGTGATTCGAAACTGGGTTTCCGCTAGGGTTTCATTGAGTGGTCTGAGTGGTCTGGTTCCCTGCTTCGTCTGGATTTCGTTGAGAGGTCTGAAACCCTCGTGCTCCGCGATTCTGTTAAGTGGTTCGGAATCGTATCCTGCCTTGGATTTTGTTGAGTGGTCTAATATCCATTGTACTCCACGATTTCGTTGAGTGATCCAGAATCGTATACACTCGGATTCTATTGAGAGGTCCGGAATCCCTTATAATCCGTGATTCCTTTGAGTGGTCCAAAATCGTATCCTGGTTTGGATTCCGTTGGGTGGTTCGGAATCCCGTTTGGTATTTTGGTTCCATTGAGTGGTCTGGAGCCCGATGTTGTTGGATTTCGTTGAGTGGTCTGAAATCCCATTCTTCAGAGATGTAGGCTTTGACCGAACTGTGTCGCTCTAGCCTTGCATGTTAGTGCATTATTGGTGTTACTGATTGATATGATTGTGGAATGGTTTTGGAAAGCATATGTGTGTGTTAATGGCACACCTGCGTGAATGGCATGATGACAACTGTTGTTGGCTTATGGTTGATGTGTAGAGTGGTACTTTATGTTTTCTGCTAAAAGTATTTTACGAAAAATTTAGAGTTTACTAAATGGTGAACTACGAATAGCTTGATCCTTATTGAGGGTACGTATGCAGTTTAACGAGGAGGTTAGATGCAGCCATAAAGTATACGAAAACTACTACGCAAACCGAATTTGGAGTTGTGCTTTGTACGTATCCCGGAGGCGTGGTATGTTAGATATACGGATATTTGGTGAGGTCACGTGTCGATCCTGGACGTATGTCGGGATCGGAGAGTGACAATGCAGTTCATTATTATTTTTTGATTGAGAATGATTCAGATAGTGTAGATTTCTTGGGTTTTTTTAGATTTGAGATATTTTTTATCTCAAAAAATTCGAGATTTCTAACTCTATGTGAATAGATGAAGATGAAGATGAAAGGAAAAAAAGATTCTAGGTGTAGAGAGATGGGTTCTTTGAGAAATCAGAGAAAGAATGAAGGAATTGGACTGGGACTATTATGGTGGTGGGAAGGGAGATGGAGAGGGGTAGGTGTAAAGGTTGAATTGGGGGTGGGTAGGCTGGAGAGAGCATGCACCCAAAGCAAAAAATGATCCTTCACATTAGTATTTTGTGTGTTTAGTAAGACCTTTGTCTTGATTGGTTTGTTGGATGTCAGGACATTTGAGTTTGAGTACCTTTTATGCGGTGACGTTCCGACTTAATAATGCAATATAGTGTGTAAATTTTTTTTACACAATATTGAATTCTTTTTATGTTATTTGTCTCTTATTGAAATAAAACTTACTTGATATATCATAATTGATGTGATATTTTAAGTCAATTACGCATTATGCTACAAATTAAACACGTACAATTATATGAAAACGTTAAAACATACAACCATGAGGGATTGATTTGAAACAAATAATAGTTCTACCAATCCATTTACGGACTACACACTATCCTACGGATCAAGCACGCACAAATTTCTTCCACAAATTGTAAGTGGTTGCTTGGTGGATGGAACAAGTAATGGATCTCACCAACCCCATGACTTGCTGAGTTTGGTCTCCATTTTAAATGTGTTTCAGGAACAACTTGAGAAGTATAACTTCACAGGGAGTTATTTAAGAATAAAGAACAAGACAAAAATGGCCATGAGCTCTCCACTTCCATTCCTAAAACCTCTTATTACATGACACTTGTGAGTTTAACAACTCTTGATTGATTAAATATTGGACCGATCACTTGAGTTTTTGTTCTTCTTTTATTTTTATTTGAATTAACATTTGCTTTGTTTAAGCATTTAGTGGTGAAAGAATGTAATGAGTGGGCAGCTAGGGCATATACTCTTAATTAAGTGTTTTCCAGAAGGAAATTTGTAAGAATGAACTATCCTATAGCATCACTATGGAATTTAACGAGCAAAATTAGTTCATAGGGTGACAATTTTGACACACTTGTTTTTATATGTTTGCACTTAATCCACCAAAAATTTTCATATAAAAATCCTACTCTCACACTCACACTCACACTCATACCCTCTTGTTTAGCAGCTCAGCAGCTCCTCCTCCTCCAAAGGAAAAACTTATTTGCCATTTGATATGTTTTTTTATAATTTTTTTATTTATTTAAATCGATGACAGCGTTCTAAATTTCTTAATGGAATGTTGATTTTTATTTGCATAATCTGAAGCAAATAAAAATCAATATTCCAATTAAGAAGAAATTTAGAACACTATCACCAATTAAAATGAAAATAATTTACAAAAAAAAAAAAAAAAAAAAAATCATATGGCCAATATCTGGAGTTTTTTTCCTTTAGAAGAGGGAATATGATTTTTTATATGGAGATTTTAGGAGAGTTTTAAGGTACTATAGGGCAGAGGCATAAGCTTTCCCAGCTCCATCTCTACTATCTCGTCTGGTCCCCATCCACATTCTCCCAGTTCTTCTCTAAAAAGTGAAACCCAACACAGCCTACTCCCACACACAGAGCAGGTGCCGCTACCTCTATCACTACCCTGAAACCGTCCTCACTCACACCACAAAAGTTTAATACCTTCCTAAATCGTTTTGAGGAAACTTTCACAGTTAAACACCAAAAAACCTCTTCCAAAACAGCACCAAATCCAACCATTATTAATCTTCAGTCTTTCACAAATCGTAAATGACATTTAGAAGTATATCATATCTTCCCAAGCTAAGTAGAAGAGGTGGAGAACCTAATTAGTTGGGGATTACAATGCAATATGATCTTTCTCTATATCAAATACTCTTGATCACATTGTTTGGTGACAAACGACGATATCCGAGATAAAGTAGGAGGACCGCAATTGAAGATAAGATGAGAAAATATCGGTTAAGGTGATTTGGACACGTAAATTGAAAACCTATAGATGCTCTGGTTAGAAGATGCGATTATGAGAGAGAGGCTCAGGGCAAAATGGGTAGATGAGGACCTACAAAGACTTGGAGACGTTAAGAAAAGATATGGAGTACTTGGAGCTAGCGAAAAACTTGGAACAAAACTGAGTACAGTTGCCTTCTAAAATTCATATAGCCAATTTCATTTAATGAGATAAAGTTTGGCCGTTATTGTTATGGTATTATAATAATTTTAGGTACTGGTACGTTATGCATTAATTAGTATTACAGTACAATCAATTTGTTGGAAAGCGAGATACCTAGCGGCTGGCAAGTTTTCTTTCTCTGTAGCCTGTAGACTATGAGTCTTGGTCAAGTTTTCCTGAGTCCTCTGCTTGATTGCTAAGCAAAATATCAACTACAACTTACAGATGTCCAGGTATCTGTGCCATATTCCCCTAGAAAAAAGGAAGAAAAAGAAAAAGCACATGAATCATAAAGTAAATGAAAGCATTTATACCCGGTGGGTGGCAAGTTCTCTCTCTCTCTGCAGCCTGTACACTACTAGTCTTGGTCAAATTACTTGCTAAGAAAGATATTTCGGTCCGTACTTTAAATAAAAAGGAGAGCCACGCTAATTGAAGCCATTGGCTTCTTCAATATTCCTTAAACTCGAGTCATTGCGAATATCATCCGAAGATCGATCAATTTGTACGTAATGGATCGTCAGGAGGAGAGTAAGAGGTTGAACAATTATGGATTTGCAGCAGGTCGAGGCTTAATCAATGTCGTATTCTCTTGGTCACTTGAGGATGTTCTCAATGCAAAGCTTTACGAAAATCAGGTTAATTTGTACTGTGTCCACTGTCCGGTGCTTACTAATTTCTTTCTTATTCGATCATGTACTTGTCGCTCGAATTGTAAAATTACAACGACAATTTTCCTTTCATTTCAACTTACAGGTGACAAAGATTCCTGAGACATTTTCTACCACGACGAGTTACATTACATCTTTCATTCCTTCACTTGTTGAGGAAACACATGCTGATCTACTATCAAGCATGACAAATCTATCAAAGGCGCCTACTTGCGAAATTCTGACTGTTACAGCTTCTGGGAATCGTGGACCTCCTAAAGACTTGTTTTATGACGTTACTTGTGTAGGAACGTATGTGCCAGAGGTTGGAGATCTTATTGCCTTGACTAATATTAAACCAAAACGTGTTGATGATTTGAACAGGTCCAGAAATTCATATCTCATTGCGTATGTTCATCAAATTAGAGACAATAATCTCTCATTACTCTCGTCAAAGGATATCGATACAAGAGGATACATGAATGCTGCGGGAAAGAGGGAAACAATGTTTGCTGTCCATCTGATGAACATGACAACAAATATTCGTGTATGGAAAGCCTTGAATTCAGATGACGCCGCAAATACAAATCTAATTAAGACTCTGTTGCAAGTGCAACCCAGTTCATCACATGTATTAATCTTCTGTCATTCCTTCGACACCATGTGCATTAAACCTACTTATTCATTTTAGATTGTTACTAATTCTTTTATGTTTGTGTCCTACAGGGTGGGAGTTCATGTACAATTTGCTTTTCTAAGGAAAAGTGCTTCGTTTCCCTTTCGCCTAAATGGCCAGAAATGTGGTGTGATCTAAATGAATCCCAAAAAGCTGCAGTTTTAAACTCCATCAGTTTGAGTAAATGCCAACACCAAAATTCCATCAATCTAATATGGGGCCCTCCCGGGACTGGGAAAACGAACACAGTCGGCATCTCACTCTTTGCCCTCTATAAGTTCAAGTGCAGAACACTAACATGTGCCCCAACCAATATCGCTGTGTTAAAAGTTACAGATCGACTCGTGAAGTTGGTTAACCAGTCTCTCGAGTATGATAAGTATGGGCTTGGGGACATAATTCTGTTCGGGAATGATAAGCGAATGAAGATTGGTAGTTGTAATGATCTTTGTGAGGTATTTCTTGATAGGCGTATTAGGATTCTGACCAAGTGTTTTACCCCTTGGAGTGGATGGAATCATTGGTTAGAATTGATGATAAGTTTACTTGAGAATCCAGAGGAGAAGTACTCATTGTACATAAAGGAAAAAAAGAAGCATGACGAGCAACATAAAGAAAGTGAAAACAGCAACTCATCAAATAATGATGAGAACAGCTTTCTGACACTTGAGAAGTCTGTGAAGGAAAAACACATTAAGGATGACAAGCATGATGAAGAGAGTGAAAATAGCAGCTCACCAAGTGATGATAAGAATGGTATTCTGACATTTGAGGAGTCTGTGAAGGAAAAACACATTAAGGATGATGAGCAAGATGAAGAGAGTGAAAATAGCAACTCAACAAGAGATGATAAGAATGGTATTCTGACTTTTGAGGAGTCTGTGAAGGAAGAACACAATAAGGATGATGAGCAAGATGAAGAGAGTGAAAATAGCAACTCAACAAGAGATGATAAGAATGGTATTCTGACTTTTGAGGAGTCTGTGAAGGAAGAACACAATAAGGATGATGAGCAAGATGAAGGGAGTGAAAATAGCAACTCAACAAGAGATGATAAGAATGGTATTCTGACTTTTGAGGAGTCTGTGAAGGAAGAACACAATAAAGATGATGAGCAAGATGAAGAGAGTGAAAATAGCAACTCAACAAGTGATGATGAGAATGATTTTCTGAAGTTTGAGGAGTTTGTGAAGGACAGGTTTGATTTCATTGGTGAGCATTTGAAAGTTTGTATGGCAAATTTGTACACTCACTTGCCAACATCTTGCATTTCACTTGAGGTGGTGAAAGACATGATCAGAGTTGCAGAGTTGCTTAAGTCGATTCAATCTATATTTAGTTGTGCTGGTGTTGCTAATGAGCAGTTAAAATTACTTCAACAAGATTGCACTCGTACTCTCAAGTCACTTCGTGCGTTTGCTGTTCCAAATTCAAATGATGCACAAACAATAAGAAATTTGTGCCTGGCAAAGGCTTGCCTAATATTTTGTACCGCATCAAGCTCTGCCAGACTGCATACAGAAGGAATGGTGCCCCTGGAATTGTTATTCATTGATGAAGCTGCTCAGCTTAAAGAATGTGAGTCAATTATTCCATTACAACTATCAGGTCTTCGCCATGCTATTCTCATAGGAGATGAGAAGCAACTCCCTGCAATGGTTAAAAGCCAGGTTTCAGTTTTATCCTTCTTACATGATCTTTGGTATTCATATTATTAATTAGAAGCTTATATATATATATATATATATATAATTTGTCTTAACAACTGAATATATTTGATCATTAAACTGCTAGATCTCCGAGGAGGCTGAATTTGGAAGAAGTTTGTTTGAAAGACTTGTACTGTTGGGACACGAGAAGCACCTTCTCGATGTCCAGTACAGGATGCATCCTTCAATCAGCTTGTTTCCGAAAATGGAGTTTTACGACAATCAGATATTAGATGGTCCAAATGTCAATGAAACGAGCTACAACAAGTGCTTCCTTGATGGAAAAATGTACGGATCCTACTCATTTATAAACATAGCAAATGGGAAAGAAGAACGTGATCGCGTGCGTAGTCTGAAAAACGTGGCTGAGGTTGCTGTGGTTTATGAGATAGTTTCTAGCCTTTACAAAGGTTAGTATTGTTGTAAGCTAGTTGATTATGTTCTTAATTTTTCTTGGAATATATATGCTGCTCGAAACATTCTTAGAGTATACCATTTAGTTTTCTTAATTTTTTTCTTGTTTTTGACAGAATTCACTCGCACAAAAATGAAGGTTAGTGTTGGGGTAATATCACCTTACACAGCTCAAGTTAATGCAATTCAAGAGAGAGTCAAAGAGTATAGTGAAGTTTCGACTGGCTCAGACTTCTCCGTAAGCGTGCGATCTGTTGATGGATTCCAAGGTGGTGAAGAGGATTTGATAATTATATCCACTGTCAGATGTAATAGAAAGGGCTCTGTGGGATTCCTCTCCAATCATCAACGAGCAAATGTGGTTCTAACACGCGCAAGGTACTTCTTTGACGAAGTGCAGCTCAGTTGTAGTACTGTCTGAGTAATCGGTGGTTTTAAAAGTTAATTACTCGTTCTTGTGTCTGTGTAGGCATTGTCTTTGGATACTGGGGCACGAATCGACCTTGATTAACAGTAACTCAATTTGGAAGAAGCTAATTCTAGACGCGAAGAAACGAGAATGTTTTTTTAATGCTGATGAGGATGAGAAGTTGGCTCAGGCTATTGCCGCAGCTCAATCGAGTTGCAATGAAGATGATCCAATCGAGCTCCTTGCAAGACCAATTTCTTCACTCAGACTGACTGATCGGACAGCTGAAACATCAACTCCAACTTACAGGTGTGTGCACCATTTACTTCACAAATTACATATTTGTAGCATGATGGATTATTATACGTAATTAATGATACACACAACCCTCTAATTTGGTTTCATTGATTGTTGTAATTTAAGTAGTAATTTTTATTTGTCTTTAATTTTTACCAGGAATAATTTTCGGCGCGGGGTTGGGTCCAACAGAGTGATTAGGTGATGACTAAAGAGGTATATTAATAATTCCTAGTTTCCATGTACAAACATTAGATTGAAGTGCATTTCCTTTTAAGCCATCTTACTTTCCTATAAGTGCTTTGGTGTATGACAATTGACAAACGATTAAACCTTATGAACAGTGCAGAGCAGCTGCAGCAGGTGTTGTGCGTAGCTCCAGGACGGAAGTAGTAGCCATTACACATTTTATGATTTGGGATGATCGTCGTCATTCTCAGATGTAAAGTAGTAGAACTTTATATTTTATCTTTCGTCGCTTGATGTTGCAATTCAACGAACAAAACAGTTATTATCGAAGTATACTAGATAATAAGCCTGAGCTTGCGGGAACCAACTGTTTGAGGATGAATAAGACACATTTAACCTGAATAAATTCGACACAATCATGAATGAACAAAGGGACGCATGAGTGAAAGCTTGAATAGTTTCGACACAAAGCAATGTAGACAGATTTGTTTAGTTGCATCAGGCTCCTTAGTTTCCAATTGACATGCCAATTTATGATCCAATGCTCTTTCGTTTTCAGACAATAAATCTAAAACATTGATATAACCAAATGCATCCGATAATAGAAAACTACATAAATTTCCTAGGAGAGTTCCTGATGGAAGAACTGACAAAGTATTAAGTTGATGATGGCTTTTATACCAACCCCAGTGAATAGCTGCTAGAAGAAGTATCTCAGGAATTAGCAATGCCTATAATGGATTGGTCGAAAGCGTATATTCTTCGAATTCCTCACCGGAAGGCAAAGAACACTGATCTTTGCATTTCCACCAATATATACAAGAGTCAAAATTTGAGTTTCTGAAGACAAATCACACTTAAAACGGGTTCACCATCTCTTATTACTTATTCACAATGTATAGTAAGATCCAGTATCACATCATCCACAATAATATCTAGTACTTAAGCTCTTTCGAGGTTAACTCCAAACCTTAAGTTACAGCTTTAGGTTATAATCACATTTGTACACGATAATATTTAGTACTAAAGCTTTTTCAAGTTTCACTCCAAAACTCAGGTTACACTACTAGACAGTAGCTCATCTACTACAACAAATTTACCATGGGCTTTATGCACATGTTATAAAAAGTGAACATTTATCACATGCTTAGTTAGCAAGTTGTGAATAATAATATTTTATAACGGACAAGTAGTGGCCCGTTATAATAAAACAATCTAATACCATAGACTTAATCAGCACGTTGTAGAAATATTAAACCACCCATCGCCTCTCTCCATCCATGACTCCTCACCTCACCACCACCACCAATTTCTTCCCCTCATGATGTCGCCCACTCAAAAACCTCCCACTCTCCTCTTGCAACAGCATCAGCAACCCAACAAATCAACCCCAACACAACCTCCATGCGCTCTCCTCCGCAGCCTCATCGCAACGGCGGCGACCATCCCTTCCACTCCACCGTGTCGCTCCGGAAACTGAGGCGCTTCAGCTGGAACGAACAGATTTGTAGTGGAAGCGAATGCAATAATGGTGCTACACTCTTTTCGCCGAGGTCGTCCACCTATGGTTCGATTGGCCATGACCAGGTCCTCCATTTTCTCATTCTCTCTAATTATTTTTAATTAATTTTTAAAATTATGCATAACTACATATGAAAACTATGAACTGGATCAAGCTAAAGTAGAAATTGGTGCATGCAGAAAATTGGAGTCTGCTACGCTTTTGTTGAATATGAAGACATTGCTGGCGTTCACAATGCACTCAAGGTTTGATTTTTTTGTGGTAAGTTGTGGAGTTTTTTGCTTTTGTTTCAAAATGCTCGTTAGATTCAGGCAAATTTCCTGTTATTTGTTGAAAGTCTTGTCAGTTCTCATATGTAGTTATGCATCTATTGCGGATTCTTAAGGCATATTGCATTTGTCTTTGGGTATTCAATTGTTAGAGAGTTCCATACTTGCACTATTGTCAACATTGATGAACTATCTGCCTTTGTATTTGCTTTGTTATAATTTTTTGGGCTTTTGCTTGTAATTTGTACTTCTATACTTAAATATGTGTAGGGCTTGGTGTTGTGACGTTTTTAAGGTCATTTGGTTGCAGATGAAAGCTTGAATATTTCAATGCTAAGTGTTATTTGGATATTTTGTTGGCTATGGTCAATTATTAGACAATCTCTATGGAATTTGGTATCGAAAATTAAAGATCATTCCATTCTTTTTCTGTTAATGTGGATCGATGGCCTGTTGTTTCTTCAATTAGTTACCTTCATTAGGAGGTTATGTTGTCTTTGGGGCATAATATTAGTATACAATATAGTTTTATTGTAGTGTTTTCCTTTTTCGGGAGTATCATGTGGATTGCTGATCCATTGCTGTTGTAGTTTGATGTTTAGCACATTTTAGTAAACTTTATCAAGGTTCCATAAAAACTAAAAAGCATTATTTTTATAAAGCGATGATCTGTGTGCATGGCCTGAAAGTGTGTTTTTCCTTGTTCCCTGTAGGCATCTCCAATTCATTTAGCTGGAAGGCAAGTTTGCACTGAGAGTGGAGCCCAAACAGCGCTGGAGTAGCAGCTCGAAGATGTAAATGCTTAATTTCATTATCCTTATGATTAACATCTTTGATGTGGCAAATTTAATGATGTCAGACTATGGCTGCGTGATGAAATTCTTAAATACTATGTGTTAGGATAACATGACTGTAAGGGGATGTATCAGAGATGTTGGGTGAAGTCCTGGAGATGGCACTTACAATTGTGTTTGTCCTAATGTTGGCAGCTGCTGCAAGGAAGTGGTGTTGCCTTCATAAATCTTAGAAATTTTTTTGTGGTAGAGATAGAGAATATGCCTTTTTCTCATTCAGTCTCGGAATCAATCTTGCATTGCAATCTTCTTTCTTCTAAGATGTTATTTAGATGTCAAGGTTTTCATGGAATCAAATCATTTATGTTCATGAGCTTAATGAGTCTATTGGCATAGCCAGAATTTAGAGTGTTATTTGCCAAATTGCCAAGCATCTGTTTTCTTAGAAGTAATCGTTTGATCAACTTATATTCCCTTATGTGTTTAGGTGAATTATTCAACCCGGAGGATGGGGCAGTGGCAGCAGCGGTTATCAAATTACGAATTTTTGTCATACAATTCAAGGAAAAGTGAAGTCTTTTAAGTGATAATTTGTTTGTAAATGGAGGCGTATATCATACTTGATAGATAGTTTCATATTTCTTAGGATAGCTCATTGATTTTAAATGTGATTTTTTAATGTAATTATTATATTGTAGTAAATATGTAAACTATGATATACAAGACTGACCAACTAAATAACTTCAATGTCCAACTGTCGCGCTTGTCTTGCGACCTGTAACTTTGTAGTTGGAGCCTGCTATACCCATAGACACTTCTCCAGCTCTTTGCAAGCATTGTACTAGTGCGACACAGGCAGTAACAGTAACAAACTTATCATCTCACTGATAAAAAATGAATGGCATTGATAATCGTTAGAGGTTAATTCCAATCTATTGATACATGTCAACAACTAATCAAGCAATTGATCCACTTCTACTTATCAACAAGTATGCAAGTTTATATTATAACAATATTGGTGAAAAGTTTCTCCTTGTACTTTTTCCAATCACGGGGCTTGCAGAAGTGTTTATGGCCAAGTTTGAGTCAGGTGAAAAGTTCATCCACCTATCCCATTGCTAACACTTCCCGGCGACACATTCAATTGCTTGAAGTCCAGACAAAGTCTGTCAATCAACCCATATACTTTGTCGGATTTAGGGTGTAATTTATCAAAAACTGTAAACTCACGGACCTTGTCGTCCACCTTGATGGGACTAGCACCGGGAGGCTTCTGGACTCCCATGCTTCTCATTTGGAGCCTCGCATTGGCAACATTGGCCCAATCACCATCTGCAGCATAGATATTTGACAACATGGAAAACTGTCCTGAATCAGATGGGTCTAACCGACCTAGGTGATTAAGCACATCCTCTGCTAGTTCCTGATCATTATACATCCGACAAGCCCCCAAAAGGGTGTTGGACCAAGTTAGTGTTTGATTCCTGCTCCCGCAACTTCAGGAGGTTGTGATCAACCTAAACTCTTATCGACGAAGAGTTAGCTTAGGTTACAACTCTTTTAAATGTTTGGTGTTTTTGTGATATGTTTCTTTTGCATAGTTTGTTGTAATTTTTGAATTTTGAATAGCCTTGTAAATAGGGATTTCTTTCCCTGATGTAATCTGAAATGGACTATAAATACATGCAGCCTCTCTTTGAAAAGGTATGCAATTGAAGTGAACTCTTGATCATTCTTAAGTTTACATGGTATACGAGCCCTACCAGTCCAACGACATAGATCCTAATTTTTTTTCTTCCAATGGTTGATAGCTCGAACGGTGCTGCATCCCCAACCAAATCCATTCCCAACCCAGCAATACCTGCTATGAACCCCTTCTCGTCCATGACTACAGTCGTCAACATCAAACTGGTTCGAACCAACTATCCTCTATGGTTGGCTCAAATCCTACCAATCCTCAAGAGTCATGACCTGATAGGTTATGTAGATGGGTTCATCGCATGCCCTCCCAAACAGCTTCCTGGTGATGCTGCCATCAACCTTGCATACACAACCTGGGTGCAGCATGATCAAATGATACTAAGTTGGATAAATGGCTCCCTCACACCATCTGTGTTGTCTATCATGGGAAGCAAGAGATCCTCTCGTGATACCTGGGAGGTTCTTGAGCAATGGTATGCTTCCTTGTCCCAAAATAGCATTTTGTTTCTTCGGAATGAACTGATGCAAACCAAGAAAGAAGATATGTCTATTGCTGATTATATTGATCGAATGAACTCGATTTCTGACAACCTTGCCCTAGCTGGTCAACTAGTGAATGATGATGAGCTTGTCCAAATTATCTTGAACAATCTGGGTCCTACCTATGAAATGACTATGAATGTTGCACAGGCATGTGACACTCAAATCACGTACCCTACACTTAAGGCTCTCCTACTGACAACGGAGAGGATGATAGCTGAGCAAACTGCTCTTATTGTGGAGGCTGCTCCTGTGAATGCATTTGTGACTGCAAAAGGTCATGGTGGATGACTCCGAGGTAATGGACGCAGTGTGTCTCCGTCTGCACGTGGTGGTGGTGCTGCCAACCAGCAATGGTTTCTTCCTCGCAGCAACAATCAGAGGCCAAACTCTGCCTGCAACGGTGAGAGGTTCACTTCTACAGGTGAAAGACTCACTTGTCAAATCTATGGAAAACAAGGGCATCCTGCCCTAGATTTGTTACCAAAGAATGAATGTAGCATATGAAGGGCGAATTCCAGCAAAGAGACTTATTGATATGGCCACATCTCTGGTCACCATCAACAAGCAACCTAATGGACAGTGGCTGCTCGACACGGGTGCTAATGCACATGTGACTCCAGATCTTCAGAATTTGATCAATCCAAAAGAGTATAATGGTAATGAGAATGTTGGTGGTGTAGGTAATGATACTGGTCTTTCTATATCTCATCTCGGTTCAAATAAAATTCAAACTCAGTCTTGCTCATTTGAATTGAAAAACATTTTAAGATGTCCCACTGCCTCAACCAATAATATTTCTGCCCATACGTTTACCCTCGATAACAATTGTTATTTACTTATCTTTCCTCATTTTTTTTCTTGTTAAAGACCTCAAGACCCGAAAGACGCTTTTCCACGGGAGATGTGAGAATGGCTTGTACCCATTTTTTGATGGCGGTGGACAATTCAATTACCCTATTTTAATGTGTGTAGTCATCCTGCGTCGTCTATTATCAAGTTTTTAAGTTCAAATAAACGAGCCTAAAGCCTCCTTGAGCATTCTTAAGTTTTACAAAGGGCACCCCCTATAACAGCATTCGGTTCCATTGCCATGCTATGCACAAGCCTAAAGCTTCCTTGACAGGCTCACCACGACCAAAAGGTCAATCATGCAACCGTAATGCTCAACTTTGGGTATAATCCCGTACTCCCTCTCCATAGTGTTGAAGGCGTGAAGGCCCTTCCTCCACAAATCCTGCATGTGTACAAGCACATAAGACCCCAATGAAGGTCAATTTATCAGGCAAAAACCCGGCTTTTACCATTTGAGAGAATAGCTCAAGCGCCTTCACGCCATGCCTGTGCATTGGTAACCCTTGCAACGTGGCATTCCAAGACACCGGATTTTTTTCGCTATCCCATGAAAGACTCTAGATGCTTCATCAACACGCCACACTTGGCATACATATATATCTTATATATCAGTGTATGATCTGCTCTTTATTTCTTGTCATCTTTGAAGCTCTCGATCTGCCATCAAAAGTTCATAAATGGAAGCTTGTTTTTGCTCTTCACCAAAACTATTACTTCTCCCAACAGAAATTACACTCAATTCACTCCAAAAGAGTTGGCATTCCATCAGCTTCCTCACTTGATGTTCACACTGCGGTGGATCAACCTAATCCCATCACTGTTTGTGACAAATGGGCTCACACAATCCACAAGTCCGAAAAGGGATGCCTACTCCTTGCAATCTAAAAGCTCTGCGGGGTCCACATTTTCATGCAGACGATCATTTGGGTGTTGTCCACTGGACCTTTGGGCCCATCCGGCATCATTCTCAACCGGCCTTCCCTCATGTCGATCAAGGAAACTCAATCGACCGCTATAGATGTGGCGGGCACATTCTCAGACTGGCCGTTGGTCTTTGGCGGGCCGTCGGAGGAGGGGTTGTTCTTGGTGAGGTGATGATGTGGTTGGGAGGAGTAGATTTTGATGAGGTGATGAAGGAGTTGTATTATGGGACAAAGGAAGGTTTGGGTTGTGCAGCTGAAATAGTGAAGAGGGATATGGTTGGGCTTGGGGAGTATAGGTTTTTTTATGGGTATGGTGGGTGGGAACGGGCAATTGAAGAATGAAATTGAAGTTGGTTATTGGACTGTGGCAGCTTGTAGCCCAAGTGTGATTGATCTGAGGAGTGCGGGAAGTGTTGGGCTTTGGGAGGAAAGTCCTTGGGCTTATGGGCCGTCGTAAGGTCCAGTGGAATCCGTTTGCGGTCGTCGGATACAAGAATTTGTGTTCGGATGTATGATTGTCATTCGTTCTTAGAATGCTAGTATCAGTCACTCACGTATGTAATAATCGTGTATGTATTTGACAATTATTGAGTAAAAAGAAGTGTGAATCTTATTATAGATCTCACACTAATGATATATTGAAAAATGTAAATTGTCATGCCAAGGTGGCAAGGTCTTTATTGACAATCAATAAATATTGGTTAAACTTTTTGAATGACGCACTTTCAATGTGACTTTTGTGATGAAAAAGTTGTTAACTAAACCTTCGTGGTGAGCTCTGTTATCAATTAGTATCTAAACATAAATGTCTGTTAGTTTCCATTAAATAAGCACACGTGCGTCTCATGTGGAGAGGTTAGAGTTGTCCCATCAAACCAAATTAAGAAACCTAAGGCATCTGTCGTTTGATTTGTGATGATTGTGCGGAAATATGGAGTACCTTTTTCTTCTCTCCTCCATCCTATATGGATCATGTGACAAATTGCATCCCTTGCTTTTGGTCGTTGTTTATGGCGTTTTCGTGTTGCTTGTCATTTGTTTCTAGGTGAGATAAGTTCCATGGTTTAGGCTTGCTTCTTCTCTTGCGACCAAAAAAAAAAAAAATTCACAGCCTCATCTGTTGTTTATTTAACAGAAGCTTAAGTTTGGACCTTAATTGCTTACAAGGCTCATTACAAGAGTCACATTGAAAGTACGGTATAACCACATAAACCACCAAAAATAAATACTATTATTTCATTTTGATAAATATTGCTTGAAAAATGTTTGTACTGGTAGTATATTATTTTAGGAAAGCTAACAAAAAGTCTAAAAAAATTTAGTTTTAATGAAAAATGACAAATAAAGGTGTAGTGAATAGTAGCAAGGAAAGATAAAAATGTGAGTTTTCATTAAAAATGAATATACCAAGAATGTTTTGTTAAAACTCCATTTTTTTTTTTCATTTTAATTGTGCGGCTTGGCTTTAGTTTTTCTTTTTTGAATACTCAAAACTTTTTTTGTCAGCCTAATGCGTCAAACTCTGTCATTTTTTCTAATTTAAATTAAAATAGTAATTCAAACTCTTTTTATTTTATTTTTTTTTTAACAAACGATATTGTCTACACTAAAAGAAGGGAGTGAGATTAGATTCACAATGGGCTAACAATCATAGTATTCAAATTTGTCTTTGGCGAGAATCAAACCTATAACACATTTCACTTATAAATGAGAAGGAATATCAATAAACTGTAGTACTAAGTGGTAAAATAAAAATATATCTGAATATTAAGAATTAAAAAAAAATTAATT